AGCAAGCAGGCTTAATTTTGGTTCTCCGGTTTCATTGAGCGCTCGCGTATAGATGACGCATGAATACGCTTTCTCGCTCGCGTCGCAAAATGCAAATAGTTCAATTTTGTTGTGGATGGTGCCAATCCAGCGATTTATTGTTATTGTTTTCAATTCATCCAGTTGATCTTTCAGTCTCAGCCACTCTTCTTGTATGCCACTGGGTACCGGTTCATCCCAGGTTAAGTTTTGCATCCAGACGCTTTGAAAAATTAGCTTGGCTCGTATAGTGACCGGTGAAACCCAACCAAGTGGGTCGTATAGTTGTGAAATCTGAGACAGTAGGGCTCGCTTAGTCAGCACTTTTTGCGAGTTTTTCTCCAGTTTCCAGTTGAACGTAAATGTATCCGATGCCGGGTTCCAGCCAAGACCGAGTGTTTTCATGCAGTCTTCTTGTTTAAAATCAAAGTTGGTTTTAGAGATTTGGTCTTCTCGCAGATGTTCAAGTAATTTGGTACAATTACTGGACCACTTCCTTAGGTTCATACCTCCTCGCTGTAATAATTGTATAAGGTCATTCTGTAATTGCCTAGCCGTTTCAAGAGAGTTGCTGCCGCTAACTAGGTCATCGACATAGAACTCGTTTTTCAGTATTTTTGCTGCGTCAGGATATAAGTGACCGTCGTCGATAGCCAATTGTTTTAAAGTTCGCATGGCTAACCATGGCGCGCATTTTGTACCGTATGTAACAGTCCTTAAGGCATATTCTTGCAGTTGCTTATCCGGGGAGTTTCTCCATATGATTTTCAGGAGATGCTGTTGGTCCTCGGATATCCAGATGCATCTAAACATTTTCTCGATATCAGCAGTTATTACGTATTTATAGGTTCGCCATTTCATGATAAGGGTTTGAATATCCTTTTGTAGGTTAGGCCCTTTTTCCATGAGGCTGTTCAAACTTTTGCCACTAGAAGTTTTTTGTGCCGCGTTAAAAACCACCCTTAGTTTTGTAGTCGTTGATTGTTCCCTTAGAACACCGTGGTGAGGTAAATAACATTCAAGTTGGTTGGATGTAATTTGACCCGCAGGCTTCATATGTTGCAATTCTAAGTACTCGTGAATAAAGTTTTTGTACATTGTTGATAGTTTTTCGTTTTTACATAATCTTTTTTCTTGTTGTAAGAATTGCGCTATAGCAGCTGATTTCGAACTTCCAAGATCTTTGTCATAGTTATGGTTCATAGGCATTTTTACTATGTATTTGCCATCTGAGTCTCGTTTGGTCGTTTCTTGGTAGTAAAGTTCACATTGATCGCTTCGCTGTATGTCTTCCATACTTGGAGCGATGTCTTCGCTCTCCCAATACTTCGTCAGATTCGTTGTATCGAATAAAGTGAAGTGACAGTTAAAGGTTTTGAGTTTCCCACACAGAATCCATCCCAAATGAGTTTGCTGAGCGATAGGTGACTGCTGATCGCCTTTCAGAACTCCGTCTAGAACAATGTCTGCGTAAACGTCAGCTCCAAGTAGTAGATCTATTGAGCTTGACACATTGTAGTTAGGATCGGCCAGCTTTAAATTCTGAAGATGCGTCCAGCCAGCACTTTGGAAGCTACAGCTAGGCAGCTTACTTGTTAAGTTAGGTAAGATCAATGCTTGCACGTTGAATTTATAGCTGGAATGTATCGATTGACATTCGAGATGTAGGAGCCCTTTACAAGTTCGTGACGTAGAACCTATTCCGGTCACAGCTGCGTCCAGTTTTTTACGTACGTAAGCGCAATAGTTGAGCGGCATTCTCTGTTATTAAGTTTATCTGAGATCCCTGATCTAGGAGACCCCGTAGTGTTACGTAAGTTCCATCAGCTGATTTAACTTTGACCAGGACTGTAGTCAGTAAGATTTCAGTATATTCGGTTTTCACGTGGTGAGATGCTGGTTGTGTTGATGTTGACGGACGTGAGTTGGTTGAGTCATCCCTCCTTTCTGCAGTTGGTTCAGAGTCAGAGGGTTTTGTATGCAGTAATGTATGATGTTTTGAGTTACATTCGCGACACGTTTTCTTTGAGTTGCAATTATTGTTGCCATGGCTGTACAAACAATTTTTGCAAAGTTTTAATTTCGCTACTGTTTTATTCCGTTGCAAAATATCCATGTTAATAAACTTATCACATTGCATCAGCACGTGATCGTTATTGCAGAGAGGGCATTTTCCGAACGATGCATGAAATATTTTGGAGTGTCCCACTTTCGTTTGCTCTTCTGGCTTCTTAAAGTTGCTTTTAAACTTGTAGTTATGGTTCCAGCTCTTGGTCATTGGTCTATGAGGTGTTTTGTTCTCACCCGAGTCCTTTAAACAGCTCTTTGCCGTTTCGTGCGCGAGGAAGCTGAGCTCCAAGAACTTAAGGAACTCGTCTAGGTCTGGCAATTCCCTATTATTTTGCGTTTCCTTGGTATACTCGTTAAGTGTTGTGGGATCCAATTTTTGTGACATCATGTAAACAATCATCGGCCCCCAACTGCTCACTTCAACTCCCATGTTCCCGAGACCATTTAGGCACTCGGTTATTACGTCATGCATCCTTTTCAGGTTGTTGGCGTTGGGTTGCTGAATAGTAGGTAAGTGCTGCATAGTGCTCATGAACGAGGTGAACTGAAGTCGGCGGTTGTCATAGCGATGAGATAGTATTTCCCAACAGGAATCATAGTTATCTGCACTGATTGACAGATGCTGGACGAGACGTTCTGCTTCACCTTTTAGTTTTGTCTTCAGGTGTTGCATCTTCTGCGCCTTGGGAATACTCGGATTGTTGTGTATCGTTTCAAGGAAAATGTCCTTGAAAGTAATCCAGTGAACATATTTGCCGGTAAATTCCGGGATTTCAATTTTTGGTGTTGATTTTTGTAAATGGATCTTTGACCAAATCTTGCTGTTTAGGTCCCTTTTCAAGCTGTCGTACTTTTGTTCAATGGTTTCGTACTTTTCATTGTAATCTTCATTCAGACTGGACCCCTTCAGCTCATCCTCAAGTTCCCAGTGTATCTTGTCGATTGATTGCCACTTTGCTTTTAATGTTGCTAGATGTTCTTCGAACTCCCAATTTTCGGTTATGAAGTCGATGTTTATCTTCGACATTGCTTTAGTTAAAGCCTTGAAATTGCGTTCTTGCTGAGTGATGAGCTTCTTAACGCCGTCCTCAGTTTCTTCATCTATTAGCCCAGAGAGATCGAAGTTTAGGTCTTGTTTTGGTTGTTTGTTTTGAGAAGCCATTAGATCCAGAATATGCCTTTTAGTTGACTCGTACATAGTCTTTGTTTTCGTGTAAACATCATTGTTAAAGTATCCGATGTTTTTATGTTCAGTGGTCTCCACCAGTATTTTATGCTGCTTTTCAAAGACACCCCATAGCTCCTCTAAGTTCTTCAAACGTTTCTCTAGGTACTCAACGTTTTTCCTTGTTATGCTGTCCTTTTTGTAGTTGGTGCACAACGTTTTGATGTCTTCAAAGATGCCGACTTGTTTGGTAAGTAGTGCCATTGTAAGTTAGTAGTTTTAAATTGTACTTGAGGTAAGTAGGTCTGGTAGTCACGTACCTTAAGTTTCGTGGTAGTACTAGTATTAGCCGCAGTAGTAGTTGGCTTGTTGACTTAGTTGAGTCTTGTTTAACCACTTAATCCAGGAAAAAGTTTCCAAGAATCACCCTTCGTTGCTTGTTAGAGCTCTTGTACTCTTTCCCCGAATATGCGCGCCTTCTCAACTTGACTGGTGAGATCCGCTTGTGGAAGGCCAGCCAAGCCGATTCGCTGTCGTTTCAAGAGATACAATTGCCCCTAACAGTTAAAAAACTCGAAGGACCATTTAATGTACGGGACAGTTTAGTTCCTGCACTGTACACTATGATTGTTGCGTGTTAGTTAGTGAGTGTGTCCAACATGTAAAACACTTCAAGTAGTAACCCAATTTGTTTATTTACTAGTATCGTACACTGTAAAAGGTTGGTGATTTCTACATGTATGTCTGTTCAACGTGTTGGTAAGTTGCACACTAAGTATATAGAAATATTAGTCGCGACAGGCGAACTGTCGATTCGCGTTGTCAGCGGTATGGCGGTAAGGTCAATGTACGTGGACCGTACATAGTCAGTGTTCAGTGCTGTAAATCATTGAGGAATTCCCTCGACGGTCCTCCGGCTCATCATCAGATTAACTGCATAACTTCGTTGTAATCCATGTAGGTGCAAAGTTTTCATCGATATTAATGTGTTAGGTCCCAAGTCGAGGTAGTTTTTTTTATTGGTTCTATTTTATTTGATTATTGGTTTTTATCCACATAGATACGTGAACCCCGTTGTAGCTACTCGATATTGATATGATAAGTGAATCAGATCCTGATTTACTTATCATGGGACCATTCTGAGACTATCTCCATTTTAACAAAAAAAAAGAATTATCAAAATCGGTTCATAAATAACGGAAATATCGGCGAACAAACAAAAAAAGTGTATACGGTCGATTTGAGAATCTATATCCTTTTTTGGAAGTCGGTTAAAAAAAATCGAGTAAGTACTTAGTTTATGTTAAAAAACACAACGTTGCATTCGTTTCGTCAGTTTCTATAAAGCTAGAATACTGTATGATAATATGACGGAACAGAAAAAACTGTTATTTCTGTCCCGTGGATAATATTACCATGCCCAAGGCGTTCCACCCCATTCCCAGTGGCCGGGGCCGGTTTAGTGATTTAGATATCAGAACGTCTGTATGTAAATAAAAAGTTTAGTAAATGATTTGTCATCTTACTGTAGGTTTTTATAGAATATTATTGGCTGTGTGAGGAGGCCTGTTAGTTTAATGCGGGCTACTGGCTTGGTTTATTTATTTCACAGTAGATACTTAACATTTGTAAAAAGCAGAAATAGTAGCAACATTTGTGGCTCAGTTATTATTAACCTGGTTATGACATGTCCAAGAAACACCTCGTCTGCAGTAGGTTTGGCAATAATGCGCGCGTGTGTGTGCAGTGGCGGACGTGCGGCGCAAGTGGTCTCACATCCGCAACTCGTACTCGCGTCACCTCCGCAACGAGATGTTCGGAGTGCGCACGGGCCGCGGCCGCATGGTCTCCAAGTGGTACCTCGCCGACGAACTGGACTTCCTGCGCCAGCACATGGCCACAGACACGTGAGTACCTTCTTTTCCATATAACTCACCACTAGTCTACCAACTCCTTAGTGAACTTCACCTCCTGTTCCCGAAATATTCAATCAATCAGAATTTGAGATTCCGGTTTCTAATTCAATCTTTTAAAATAATGGGCGACACGACCAATAAGTATACTTATACTACGGATAAATGACTATTATAATGTATATAGAAAACATAATTTACTATGACAACCAGAATTATTTAGCAAAAGCTAGGATTAGGTTATCTATGTTTTGTGGAATTTTGAGAGCATCTACAGATTCTACACCTTACTGCTGCATGTTGCACTGAAGCTAATTCAAAAACTTGTAGGTATTGAACTTTTTTATCATACAGCGATAGCGTCAGAAATGTACCATTGTAGGTGAATCCGATGTAGCGTTTTCTTTGAATACATTGACCGTTATGTGCGTCGGGTTCTGGAAGTGTGTATACAAAGTATATTTTGTTTAGCAGGAGAGCGTTGCGCCATTCGTGCTCGCCTGTATACGTGCGCGAGCCGGTGGCTGCCACCCAGAGCTGCCCGTCCCTTGACGGCACGTCCACTCCATGGTTCGCGCTGGGCAGCACGTCTCACGTCAACCCCACGCAGCTGTCGGCGGAGTCGCAGCCCTTCTGTGACAACTCTTCAAGTCCTCACTCATTTGAGCCTGATGAAAATTCTGCTTACTTTCACTTTTTCCGAGGTATTCATAACGATTACCAGGAGCTGCCAGCCAAAAAGCAACGTTTGTTTCGTCGCGAATGTCTCGCCTTTCTGCATCGGCTGCTAGATGAAGAGGAGCCCCGGGGACAAGAAGATGCTCTCGACCTCAGCAACTCCATTGATACGGACGATGAAAAAGAATGTAAACCAATCTTCATCAGCAATGTGGAAAGTATCGTCGGGGACAGTGACTCCACCCAGGAGTGTGTGAATGAAGCGAAGTGAATTACGGGTGTTGCGCGAGTTGGCCACTATACATTACTAGGAAAATAGTACCTACTGTAGGTTCATACCGATTATATACATTCTTACAGACTGCTTGAAATAAATCACCCACACCTTAAGCACGGTAATATTACGTATTAGTGTGAAGTCTATTAATGTGACTCTGTGTGAGAGGTATTGTTATCTTGTAATAACAATATGAATGTAATTTATAATATTCATAATATGTTTATATTTATAATATGTGATCATAATGAATCTGGAATAAAAATAGGATACTCAAGTCATTTTCAGTGACTTAAAGAAGGAGAATTTTTATTTCTCTATGAGTAGGTTTTTTTTTATTTCTTAATTGCAACCAAGCAATCCCATGGTCGTAAAATTAATAAACTATGACATACTATAACAATATTTAGTTATGATTTATGTCCTCCGGTCAAAAAGTACAATGTACATAGACAAACACAACATTATTAATATGGGGCCCCCATTGTAGTTTGTCATCTATGGTTATACCCAGATCATCTATGGTTATGCTAGCACCCAGGGAGTTCACTTTATTTCATCAAACATCACGCTACGATCAAATGGAGCTGAGTGAGCAGCGGGTGAAACCGCGCAAGAGTAGCTTGTATTTAATAAAGTATGGGACGAGTTACTAATTCCGGAGTCTTGGAAAACACAATGCATTACTTATACCAATTTTAAAACCCATTAAACCTGTAAATAATGCTTCCTCATACAATATATCTCTATCATCATGTTTAGGTAAGCTGTTTGAAAATATGTTGAAGTTAAGGTTAGAGTATTTTGTTGAATCACAAAGATTGATTCCTTCTATACAGATTGGCTTCAGAAAAGGTAAAAGTTGCTCCGAAAGCTTTATTATTTGATATAAGACAAGTTTAAGTCACTCTAATGCTATCTGCGTCTTTCTAGATGTAAATGTATCTGCACCAGTTTAATACCAACTTGGAGCAATCCGACAATTGCTTTGTTTGCCAGCACAGAACAAACATCAAGCACCTTATCTTATAAACATATCGCGACTTTCTCAATGTCTGTTACAATTAAACAAACTTAAAACATGGCTCGAAAGTAATTTACTTAAGAATTCCTTAGCAGTGAGTAGCACCGCTATCAACTCGTATGAAAATATTCAATTAAATGTTAATGAGGTGCAACGCAGTGGGGCACGTGTCGCTGCAGTCGCGGGCGCGCCGCCACCCGCAGTGGCTACACTACACCCGCGTTCCCGCGAACGCACCACCAAGTGAGTATCCAACTTGCAAACTTTTTTATGTGGTAGGACGGCAAACCAACTGACGGATTACCTCGTGGTAAGCAATCGGATGAACCCGTAACACCGTGCGTGTTGTCGGCTTTTTGGAGATTGGGGAACGGGAATAAGGATTAGGAAACTTCAGAATTCCTGCTTTTCGAGGAATAAAATTACAATCTTATGATACACACGCCCTTCGAGATAGGTATATTTCCTTACTCCAGGTTCCAAATAAATCGTACGTTCTACAGTAAGGCACTGAAATGAAACGAATTATGAAAAAACATTTAACACTCAAACCTGTTTTTATTACTACAAATAATCCAATATTTTATTTGATACTAGCTACTCGGCTCCATTTAATCTTAGCGTGATGTTTTATATCCTATAGCACTCAGGAACATTGTAGCTTTCTATCAGTGAAAGAAATTTGGAAATCCGACCAGCGGTTTCAAAGATTACCCCCAAAAAACAAACTTACAAATTTTACCTCTTTATAATATAGACTTACACCCTAGTCAAAGGGTACTGCTATACGGAACAACTTGTTCACTACATAATAAAACAAACATGCGCCGTCTGTCTGTCCCTATGTATGCGTGCGGTTTTTTTAATAGATCAAGTGATTCTTAAGGAAGTTTTATATGTAAAATACATGTATAATTAATATAATAGAGAAACACTGATAAGGTTTCTAATGTGATGTCGTCAATAAGTACGTTATTAGTAGGATATTATTGGGCATTCTAATCCACCTTCCGTTCCTACGGCTCACTCCGTTCGCCTCCGTCGCTCTCGGTGGATTAGAATGCCCAATAATATAAATGGGTTACCTTGTTCGATCAGCAAACGGATTGGACGCCATTCCAATTGGATATTAGTTTAAAACTAAAACGAGCATGAGAACAGACTATTTAGTGTTTGCTGGCGTAATGTTGCTTATAAATGTGAATGTAACAAATTAATTGAGTCATTTTTAGTCTGTTTGTTTCATGTAGTAACCATGAAGTTTGTCAAACAGCCACAATCATTAAATGTGAATACAGTTTGTATTGAGTCTCGAAATACTGGTTCCCGTCATGGAGACCTACTACCCAACTCTGTACGTTGCATTATTTGCGGGCCTTCCAATTCTGGAAAAACTAATTTGTTAATAGGTCTTCTCATACATGAGAATGGATTAAGATTTCAAAATGTTTATGTTTATTCGAGAACTCTGCATCAACCCAAATACATATTTTTAGAACAAGTTTTGCAACGAGTTACAGGTGTATCATTCCAGAAATATCATAGTAATGAGGAAGTACTGAGTGTCAAGGAGGCAAAACCTAATTCTGTGATCATATTTGATGATGTTGCTTGTGAAAACCAAAACAATATGCGTGATTACTAGTATTGATTATTTTTATCTTAACCAAACATATACTAAAATTCCTAAACAGTTAGTTCGGGACAATGCTAACTTAATTATTCTTTTTAAACAAGATGAAACTTTTGTAATCTTTGATTAGGATCATTAATATTTAAGTATCTTACCACAGAAATATTCGTTAAACAACGCTTAACCTATCAAGATATAAAAATGGGAAAAAACATTAAAAAAACAAATTGTTGATGCTGCAGAAGCCGTTAAGAAAAAAATACGAAAGATGAAAGACATTGAGATTGATAACAATCAGACACTGGAGTCAATGTTGAAGCCTGTAACAGAACCTCTCAACCTAATTGCAAATGCAAGCATGCAACCTCCTCGTTTGTATGGTACGGGAAATGAAGAAGCAGATGTTTCATTTATTGATTCAGCTTCTCAGAAAGGAAACCTGAGTAAAATCGACGGTGACTATGAATCTGACAAGGACAGTGATTGTTCGCTTCAATCATTGGTTGAAAATAAACAGGGTGATCTGGGTGATACATCATCTTGGTCAATAACCTCAGAAGCACTTGCCGGGGTCCCATATGGTGTCAGAGTGGTGGATGGGAACTTGATGTTAAGTTCAGCTCGCATAACAATCGGCGATGAATATATTATCGTGTCTGGACAAAAATATCAAAATACACCTGGTTTAAAACAGTTGTTGCTAAAGAAAGATGTAGATTTAAGTTTGGTAACCGACAGGGATATGCAACATTATAAGTCAATACTACTCGATACAAATGCTCATCGACGAGACTATGATTCCGGTAAACCAATAAAAAGTAATAAGGGACAGAAATATTTACAAGTTATTAAGCCACTTTTTAAACTACGAAGTACCATCCAAGACAGTATTCCAAGACTAACTACTCTAACTTTTGTGAAAAAGTATAATAAAAGTTACAATTATGCGCTAGTGGTCATATATAGATTGCTTCTCAAAGTATGCTTGGGTGGAACCATTGAAATCAAAAAATAAACAAGATGTTACTCATGTATTTGAAAAGATATTGATTGATAGTAATCGCAGATCTGTTAATTTACAAACGGATATGGGGACCGAGTTTTATAACAATACGTTTCAGAATCTCAACGTTTTCAACCAAAAAAGCTTCGATTGTTGAAAGACTAATAAGAACTATTAAAAATAAGTTATATAAATCTTTTAGCTATAACGGAAACTACAAATGTACCATCATCAACTACAACTACCATCAAAAAACTAAAAAGTATGCTACCCAATCGTCCTCTGACTAATGTAGATATTTAAAAGTAGTTCGAGTTTAGTTAGTTAGATCTACATGAAGGATCAGTTACCAAGGAAGCCGAAGAAAATCGAATGCGCTATCGTAAACTTAGACGAAGAAACTCATTGGGTAGCTTATGTTAAATTATACAAGCATTGTGAATATTTTGATAGCTATGGAGATTTAAAACCTCCAACAGAATTAATGCGATATTTTAAGAATTGTAATGTTTATTATAACTACACAAGATATCAAAGATTCAATGCAGTAAATTGTGGTCACTTATGTTTAGAGTTTTTGATGACTTTTTGGAATAAAAAAATATAAAATGTATGTTTTTCTTAAATTTTAATCATTTCCACAATGTCACTCACTTTATCAATAACTGAAAATTCGTCAAATTTATCTACATACTATCCAAATACGTTGCAACTAGATGGAGCTTTTGATTTCGCCTTATTGCATTATTCAACATTTAATTCTATTAATATTAATATATACAAAACGAATAACAAGTTCTACTACGGTTCCAACGAAGTTATTGAATTACCGGAAGGTACATATGAATTGCAAGATATCATTGATTTAAATAATCATAAATCTGAAATTAAGGATGCAACAATAAAACTACTGTGCAATAATAATACGTTAAAAACTACTATTTTCTGTACAAAAGACATTGATTTTAGCAAAGAAGGCACTTTCAGAAGACTGTTAGGATTTAATAAGCAGATTTTAAAAGGTAATAAATGGCATGTATCACAGTTTCCAGTCAACATTTTACCTACGACTGTGATCAGGGTTGAATGTGATATTGTAAGCGGCTCGTTTATAAACGGTGAACCAAGTCACATTATTCACGAATTTGCACTCAACGTGCCACCTGGGTATAGGATCATAGAAATACCGAAGAACGCAATATACTTTCCGATAAATCAAAATAATATAAGTTAATAACAAGTTTTAATAGAAATGATGAAATACGCATACCTATCAATCAACAGGACCTGTACTTATTACCATCAGCTAGCACTTTATATTTGGAAGGAACCGTTATAGTTAGCAAGAAGGATACGAAAGACAAAGCTGCTACTGTCCATTTCACCAACAATGCTCTACTTTACTTATTTCAAGATATTAGGTATGAACTAAATGGAGTAGAGATAGATAAAATAAAAAATGCTGGTATAACCACAACCATGAAATCGTTAATATCAATGAATGAG